CCCCCCCCCCCCCCCCCGAAATGGGACGGCGACTTTTTTAGTAAAATATTGTTCGAAAAGTCAATGACCTCTCAAATTCTACCTTTGTTTGCAACACATTACAGAAGCACTCACCTCAGAAACTATTTAATTAATTGGTTTTCCGTTGAGTGTTCATTCATTAATCATTGCCGACTAGTTTTCATTGGCTGTTATCTCTTAAACTTCCAGGCTACCTATTATGGAGTTACATACCTATTCATACCTTAGGTTTGTAATCATTTTATAATGATCTGATGGTTAGATTATATCTCTCCCATTTTATTTTTATAACTACTTTAATATATATATATTATGTTATTATACTTTGATGGTCGTATGGTCGTGTATTTTGTTTTCCAATTTAGTCCCTCTCATTTTATAAATGACTGCTTGTGTTTAGATTGACGATGATTAATGACATGGTTCTTGTTAGGATTGTTTTTGTTCAATGTGAAATAGGGTGATTCTAATGTTTGACCTTTTGGTTAAAGGTATAACATTGTTAGTCGAGTTATATTCACGTTGGATTTCTTTAGTGTGTATTTTGACTTTAGGTAGTTTAATTCATTCTTTATAGTTTATCGTCAACCAAAGGAAGGGTGTGGCTGTAAAAAAATTAACCGTAAGGGACTTAATTGAAACTCTTTCCCTAAACCCTAGACCTAAAATTAAGGAGCAAAATATGTGCTTAGTCCCCCCTCTCACCTCCCAAAAAAACTGAAAAATAAAAGCAACATAAATTTAACATCTAAAATTTGAAGTTTATGACTATATTTAACACAATTTTCAATATTTGAATTTTAAAATGTCTATTTTGCCCTTAATTTTTCAATTTTATTTTCAAAGTTTTAATTTTGTGCTTTACAAGTCCATAATTTTGTTTGATACGTGTAAATTTGAATATTTTCTAGATAGTGTATAGCTTCAGATTTATTAAATAATTTTTTAAAAAAATTTTATATTATATAATAGACTAATTAGTATTTTAGAACTTTGAATATGCTAGACTTATTAAACATTTTTAACAATAAAATTAATAGTACTAACGGCCTATTAAATAATTTGGTAAGTTTATTTATGGACTAAATAAACATAAATTTTGAAGATAAGATCAAACGTTAATAAATGTAGCCGTAGTCTTTGTCACAGGTGACAATTATTTTGATATAGCGTTCATTTTTCAAATATATAAAGCTTATGTGCATGATATTAAACTTACTCAAACTTAAATGTAAGGCTTAATCATTGATAATGTTGACTTTTAATATTCTCGGTCCTGCCTTTGACTCTCTCACATGGGTATGCTTTCGGTGATCAACGGTTTACACCAACATATAATTAATAATTACACTCTAATTTGAAGGCATGGTTTGTGGGTTAAGGAAGAGCCTCCATGCTATCATGGCTTTTAAGTTTTAATGCACTTCCATTAAAAAAAAAAAACACCTTTAAATTTTTTACAAAAAGTTTTATTTTAGTCCCTATAATTTTTACCCTACCATTTAGTCTTAATATTTTCGATAAATCTTTAATTTTTCTAAATGCAAAAAATATTATTATTAGTAGTATTATTCAACTAATTTTAATAAAAAATAACTTTAAGCCACTAAATTTAAAATTATTGAAAGCCTAAAATAGAATAAAATTGAAAACAATATTTTAATATAAATTATTGAAGTTGTCAACCCTCTCTCGACACCCATAAATATTAAACTAATTTCAAAACACGTACCGTAATATGCAAAATTTCAATTCCAAATTTATTTATTTATTTAATTTCATCGGAATTAGCACACGAGTTGTTCTGCGAGCGCCACATGTAGTAGTAGGAGTAGATCTTTATTTTGTAAATGCTAAGAAAAATTAATCTTTCTAAAGTGCTATGTTCTCATTGGGATTACAAATGTAAGTAAGAATTAAATAAACCTTATACGTTACTTTGATTAATTTAATGAATCAATAGATTTCTATAAATAATGTAATATAATATAATATATTACGAATTGAAAGAGAAATAAAATAAAAACAAATTTCAATATCTATATCAATAGAGTCAAAAGGCTAGGATAGGAAAAAGCCATATAAATGCAAACAAATGCAAACCCTAAATTAATGGATCAAATGCATATAAACACCTTCAAATGTGCTAGGTTGGAGAATTTAAACCCTAAATTAAAAAAATAAATGAATAAGCCTATTTGAGTTCTAGCTTATCGAACGAGTTATTTTGCTGAAATAATAAATCAAATGGAGATTAAAAAGCAATAGCAAACAAAAAGAAATCTTAAAAAATGAAATATTCATAGCTAATACAGAGGTTAACTAGATTTTTTCTTCATAGACTTAAGACTTGAAGCAAAATGATACCAAAATATATGTTGCTAATTAGATTAGATTTGTAATTAATGCTAAAAGAAGAAAGCACAAGAACAATAAATAAATAAATAAATGAAGAATCTTTTCTAGGTCAGATTACTCCACCATAAAAGTTTCCCAAGTATTTTTTGAATTGAACATGGGTTCATGTATATGTTTTCATGCCAAAATGTCAAGTCAGCAGCAAATTATTGAAGGAATTAAATAATTCCCAATTTACAACTTTAAAAAAGAAATTCTAACCCCTTTTCTCTAATCATTAATTATGAGGATACATTTTCTTGAATCTAAAAATTAAACTTAAGACGTAGATCCAAAGAAAATAAGTCATGTCTTAAACTTAGTCGTACTAATAGATTGGTACCTTAAATATCGAACAAAAGACTTCAAAAGAAAAGGAGTCAAGCCTCCTCGAAGGCAGTAAAAAATGACAAACTCCAAACGAATCGATCCTCGATTAAGGGGAGGCGTACTTTGTTTGAGGAGAGGTGTTGGATGATAAAAGTCCCACATCGGCTAATTTAGAAAATAATCACGAGTTTATAAACAAAGAATACTCTCTCCATTGGTATGAGGCTTTTTGGAGAAATCCAAAGCAAAGCCACGAGAGCTTATACTCAAAGTGGACAATATCATACTATTGTGGAGAGTTGTGTTCGTCTAACATGGTATCAAAATGAACACTAATATTTTTGGTAAATTAAAGTAAAGATGTTACGTTATAAATATAAACATAATTATACGGCATTTTAAAGAACGAATTACCTTCTTTCTTCGTCCCCGCCTCGAGATCCAATCTAAATAAAAAACATGAGACTCTCATGGCATTATGATTGGAAAAGAATTTTAATTTTGAGATTGGTGCAGCTTGAACTGTGTAAGTTCATGCATGCCATATTCATCATCTAATTAAAGGTCAAACACATGGAGCTGAGTAATGGTTCTCTTACAAGGCACCCCATTTAGGTGACAAACAACTTGTCTAGGTTGCCTGCACCCACATAGATTTCTTGTCTTTTTTATTTTTTTAATTCATTTATGTTTTCTATTTGTAGCTTTAGCTTTCATATTTATTAGGTTCTTGCTGTTTTAGACTTTAAATTTTGTAGTTTTATTTTTTGGTTGAACTTTATCATAATTATTTAATAACAGTTAAAGTCAGATTAAAGAAAAGAGAAAAAATTATATAAAACAGTTGCATGTTATGAGTTCAAATAATTGAAGAACTATTTATGAAGAGCGTACCTTATAAGAAAGTGTTGATGATGATGATGAGGGGGAATATTCTTGGCTGGAAACCTATATTAAAAGTCATCTTTGACAAACAAATTATATTTATTATTCATCAAAACGCACTAAAATAGCAACTAAATCCAAACACTGCCTATGATTATGATAATAATTATGATTAATTCGCTAACTACTAACTAATTAAAGAGCAATTATAGTTCGTCAAGTTCTTGATACTACCCTGCGTTTGAGTGCATGAACAAATGCGAAAATTATTAAAATTACAAGAGAGTGGCTTAAACCTCTAAACCTGAACTTTTGTAGACCTCGATGTAAGGGAGCTCCACAATCCTGCGAGATGGAAAAAAACACTGAGATGGATAATAGACTATCGTAGAAATTATGAACGCTAAAAAAACCAGTTTCCAGTATTCAAAAAATTCAAATGATTCAAACGAAAACGATATAGAATGCACTGCACAATTAGATTAACATTTCATATATTGAACAAATATTGCAAAAATATATGCAATGTGTGCATGCCGCCATAAAAACAAAACATAAGATTGAGAATGTCAAAACTTGATTTAATGTTATTGTACTCGTATGAAGAGATGTCCACGATGGAGATTGTCCATAGGGGTCAGAATTTTCATGGGACTTTTTTTTCTTTCCATTTTTTAATATACACTTCAAATAAGTTTTTAACGGATAATATAATATAATATTCTACCTCATTACTAAAAACTCAAATTTCAAATCACAAAATAGTCTTCAACATTTAAAAAATATATGTAAATATTCATTTACTGAAATAATGTATGTATTACATATGTTAGGGGTGAGGCAAGGGCAGGATCAGGATGGAGAATATAATCTCCGTCCCTAGATGAAAATCCTCTCCTCTCCCTCCCTATTTCTCATTTATATGGGATCAGGATGGAGAATTGATGGAGAATTGATGGAGAATATAATCTCCGTCCCTAGATGAAAATCCTCTCCTCTCCCTCCCTATTTCTCATTTATATGGAGATTTCACGCCCAATTGTTATTAAAGTTAGACTCCTATACGCTTTGAAGACAATTATATTGAAATCTAGTTAAAAACTATTATGATTTTAACATTAGTAAATTACCACCAAGTCTCCCAATGCTCTTTCATATGTGGCTTAAAAACGCAAACATCTTATGAGCTATGGTTGTTAATTTACTCCATAAGAGGTTGAAGACTGTCATAAATATCAAAAGCGCAAATCCAAAAACAGAATCAACAGCAATAAATTGGAGACTGCCAACATCAAAAACAAAATTACAAAAATTTAGATAGAAAACTCTACAAAAATAAAGAGAGATTTTGAAACAATAAGAAGGAAGCTAGGCTTCACCTGCTGATATAGTTGCATATAAGAAAGAATCATGTCACTTTGGAGTATGCTTCCATGGGATGCCTCAGGGCATTCTACATAATGTTCAATATTAGGAAACGTGAAAAAAAAAAAACTAAACTCATAGTAAACTATAATAGAGTAAATATAGACTGTGATCACACCTGAGAATCTTCAGTCATTGAATCAGCCTCATCCAGAATTATTATCTTGAATGGTTAACAAGGATAACCCCTAAATTCTTTTTCCTTTTCTAAAAAGTGTGAAGTTTATAACAGGCATGTTATGAAAATGTTATAGCTAAGATTAAGAAAATTACCCATGGCATTGACCACTGCTTGCTGCAACACCAGCAAAATCTTTAATCCTAGTCCGAACAACATTGATCCCACGGTCACCTCTTGCATTCAACTCCAAAACTCTGAACTTGTATGAGTTCAGGACTAAATAATGTTTCCTATATCAGATATATTTTATATCAAATAAAAACTAATAAGATATTTAAATAGTACATTTCATGTTTTATAAAAGCATGATTGCATTAACGTTTGAATTAATCCAAGCAGATTGAAGGATTTTGTTATCAAATAAGCAAATCACGAATGCCATGAGCAAAAACCTCCCGAAAGCAATGACTTACATTTAACCATGCTGATAGTGAGGCCATGATTTATTTATAATTTCACGTTTCAACTTCAATTTATTGCTAAATCTCATAGATAGACAATTCAGACAACACCTTAACCAAAAAAAAATTACAAACGAGCAGAAGAAACCTAATTCCCCAGCCGCAAAGAATCAAAGTCATCTCTTACAACGGATTCTAAAATTCTCATCCTAAACTACCGGTTAGTTCTGCATAAAATCAAAGTCACCTCTTACAATGGATTCTAAAATCCTCATCCTAAACTACCGGTTAGTTCTGCATAGAATCAAAGTCATCTCTTACAACGGATTCTAAAATTCTCATCCTAAACTACCGGTTAGTTCTGCATAGAATCAAACAACTTCATCCTGATGCATCAAATCTTTCACTACCTCGGCCGACTGTCAATCGAAAAAATGGACGACGGTTGAGATTACGCAACACATTCTGAGAAACAAGTGAAACAAAAGAACGTAAAACAGAAACGTACTACATCTCCGCCCATGGTTGAGAGCTCAGCAACAATGGCGCGCCATTTCTTCTTCCCCCAACGCACTGATCCACCTCCCCGGCATTGCAAATAGGGTTTTTTAATTTTCCCGCGTTTAGTCGGATTTTTGTTCCTTTTCTAATTCCTTCACAGATTATGCTTTGTGGGCTGGGCTTTTGGCCCTTTTCTTATTGGGCCCAATTCCTCTCTTACATTTTATGGTTGCTTCTTTCCTACCATTTCTTTTGCTTATTTTCTTTTTCAATTATTTAAAAAAAATTAAATCTTTTATTTATAATATTTTTAAAATAATACTAATAATTTAATCGTTTAATTATATTCACCGTTTTTTTCATATTTATTTATTTTCAAACATTTAATTAAAATTTATAACTCAATTTCAACTCCCAAATTAAAATTATTTTTAAGAGTCCTTGAAAAATAAATAATAAAAAATAATTATAAAATTAAATAAATATATACAGATAATTAAAATGTAAACAAAATAAATAAATAAATAAATTCAAGTTGAGAATCCATGAACTAATCTAATCTATAAAATTTTCATTTATTTGAACCGAACCCAACCTAAATAAGTTCATGACCCAACCCAAACTGTACGAATTGGGTTCGGTTGTTCAAATTTTTTTTCAAGTTATCGAGTTTTTTTAAGACCCCTACTTATGATAACTAAGATTCAAATGCTTCTGCAAATATCGCATTCCCGAGATTTTTGTCAATCTTAAGAAGACCGATCTTGACTCTTTTCTTCTTCTTTTTTAGTTTAATAACATTGGGTACGAGAACTCAAACACCTCACCTATTTCTCGAGTCATATGCTCGGGTTGACAAATCAATATCGATTCAAATACGATAAACAAAGTAACTATAGTGTCGTTTTCTTCAACCAATTAAAGGTTTATAGGCATTACCATTCATATGATAGGAGAAAGGGGAGTTGGTGTTTAGGTATATTGCTTCTTTACTACAACTTGTCAAGATCATGAGTTAGGTTCTTTCCCTATTTGTACAAATTTCAAATTCTAACCTAACGTTGTCACGTGGGAATTGTCTAATCGTGTATAAAAACTCCTCGAGAGATCAACTTGAATTGTCTCAACTTTGACAAACTGTATAGCTCGAGTTCTATAATAACGAAAAAAGAACTTTTTTCGATATATTAGTTGTGACTCTTAATAACAACAGTGGGATCGAAGGAAAACATAGTCTGTTATTGTGAGATCCCATATCGGTTGGAGAGGAAAACGAAACATCCCTTATAAGGGTGTGAAAATCTCTCTCTAGTATACGCGTTTTAAAATAGTGAGGTTGACGACGAAACGTAACGGGCCAAAGTAGACAATATATGTTGGCTGTGGACTTGACTGTTACAAATGGTATTAGAGCCAGACATTGGACGGTGTGCCAGCGAGGACGCTAGGCCCTCAAGGGGGGTGGATTGTAAAATCTCACGTTGATTGGAGAGGGTAACGAAGCATTCTTTTAAGGGTGTGGAAATCTCTCTCTAGAAGACACGTTTTAAAATCGTGAGGCTGACGGCAATATATAACGGGTCAAAGCAGACAATATATGTTAGTGGTGGACTTGACTGTTACAAATGGTATTAGAGCAAGACACTGGACAGTGTGCCAGCTACCACCCAGGGCCCCAAGGGAGATGAATCGTGAGATCTCACATCATCGGCTAGAAAATGGAACATAGCATTTCTTATAAGGGTGTGGAAACTTCTATCTAGTAGACGCGTTTTAAACCCGTGAGGCTGACTGCGATATGTAACGGGTCAAAGCAGACAATATATGTCAACGGTGGGCTTAGCTATTACAAATGGTATTAGAGCCAGACACCAGACGCTGTACCAGCTAAGACCCTATAAGGGTATGAAAACCTCTATCTAGCATACGCGTTTTAAAACCGTGAGGCTGACTGCCATACGTAACGGGTCAAAACAAACAATATATGTTAGCAATGGGCTTGGCTGTTACAAATGATATTAGAGCCAGACATCTAACAGTGTGCCAGCTAAGACCCTATACGGGTGTAAAAACCTCTCTCTAGTAGACGCATTTTAAACCCGTGAGGCTAACGACAATACGTAACAAGTCAAAGCGAACAATATCTGTTAAAAATACGAACTAAAACCTAATTATTCGATTGACGAGCTTTCGTTATTTTCTCACTGTTCTTTCCAATCTTTTCACTCTAAGTTGAAAACTCGGAGAAAATTTCAAAGAAAACGAATAGGACGTGTCGATGTTCCATTTCGTAAAGAAAGAGGAAGAGAAATGGATCGAGAAGAATAGAAGCATCTTAAAATTCCAAGTTGGGTTTGTAGAAATAAAAGAGAATTTGGTGTGAAATTTCATAAGTAGGTAATGATAAAAAAAGAATTTTATGCTTAGAATAGTACCCTACGTTCTTATCTTAATAGCCCACATGGAATTATGGCTGCCCAATACATTCCCAAAGGCTATTGGTCAATTATTTGGACAACAATTATTTAAATATTACAATTTCATAATTGATCAGAGAATATTTAACTTTTTCGTAAAGGTTTTCAAAAGACTCGAGAACCTAAAGAATTTAATTAACTCAACCTAACTCGTATATAAAGACTCGATGACCCGCAAAAAAAAAAAAAAATTAATGGATAATTTTTTGTAATATAATTTATATATAAAAAAATATAAAACATTATAATAAATAAAAATATAATATAATATTTTACCAACATAATTTATAAAAAAAAAAATTAAAATTTTAATATCCGAGTATAATTATATATATATATATATATAAAAAAAAAAGGAGGAGGACGATTAATATTATCTCTGATTCTAATTGGGAGAAATTTCTCGTGCTCACCTCCCATTTCCTGCAAGTTAAACGAACATATCTACTCGTACAACTTTAGTTGGGTTATCAAGTTAGTTGAGTTTGGTTTGTTTCAAATAAATGAGCGTCTCGTAGGTTGGGTTCGGTTCAGTTCATGGATACCCTTAAAATTAGATTATATTTGAACCGACCGAACTAAAATTTATTATTAATTAAAAAATATATGTTTACTGATAATACAACTATTTGTACGTATAATTAACTTATTTAATTTTATAATAATTTTTAATAACTTTTTAAAACGTCTCAATCTTACCCAATCCATCACATAACGTCTGTACGCTTATCTTTTTGGTCAATAACATAATCATATTTTCGATGACTAAGATTACGTTTGACATTTACGATAATATGATTGGTTTAAACTAATTATAGTATTTTCATTTGAATCGCTTATAATTATCACTTAATTAAAGTTAGATTAAGTGACGGATTAGGTTGAATAATCCTTATCTAATATTAATGTTTCATCTAACGCGTGATCGATTAGATTACTAAGAAATTACTTACATTAGTATAGCAAATATTTGGCTTATATATTAAATTTATAATTTTTTTAAAAATTAATCCCATAATTTGTTAAAATTCGAATTAAATATTTAAAATATTTATATTTATTTTCGAAGAATTAGAATTTTGACCAAATGTCAACGACAGAGATCCCCACTTCCGGAGTGGGATTGTAGCGAAACAAAACGACGTCGGATTAGGATGGGTTTTTCTGCTAACGTGGAAAAATACGCGACGCGAAAAAACGGAACTAACGAATTTTAAAAAAATTATATAAAAAAAAAAAGTATAATAATTGAACAAGCAGCCAGCGAGGACCATAAGTCCTTGTGGTGGGGCCCACCCGACCCCACTCGATGTTGTTTGACTTATCGTTACCATCCAATCCAACCAGACTCCCGGGGACCACAAAAGAAAAAAACAAAAAATGCTCATTTTTTTTAATTTAAATTTAATTATTATTATACGGTTGGTGTTATTTCATCTGCGTTCCATAAATTAAAAAAATATTATTTTCGAAAAATACAAATTTGGTCGTATTGTTAAAGTTTCAGTTACCTTTGAGTTCCAAAGCTAAAAGAAAGCTGTATTTTATTATTATTATTTTTAATTTTTATTAGTTTTCGTTTTAATTTAAATAAAATCATAATAAATTATTTTAAAATTAAAATATGAAAGACAATTATAGGTTAAAAATACACATTTAAATTAAGATAGTCATCCATGGACTGAGACAACATTCTTGTCTCTATCCATCGATTAATCGTTGAATTGTTGAATGTTGAAAGACAATTAGCGACAATTTGAATTGACTTTTTAAAGGTCTGAAAGTATTTTATTGTTTTTACTTATCAGTTGATTTCTAGCTGTGAAATACCGTGAGACGTTGAGGGCCGAGAAAAAGACAGAGAAGGACCACGTGTTTTTTTTTTTTTTGTTATTATTATTTCTAACAAATAATAAATTATAACGAAATTAAATATATTTTGTTTTCAAATTATTGTTTTAAATAAATAAATAAATTAATATATTATAAACACGTTTGAAAATAAAATGAAAAATAAATTAAAAAGAAAATGGGGGGTTTGGGATAAAGTGTACGGCATTGACGTTTATGGGATTTAAAGAAATTGAATTGCGTCTTTAAACACTGATTTGACCAGAAATGTCAATGCATCCCCTTCTTTCACCCTTTTAATTTAAGCCTTAAGGTCAAACAAATTCCACTTTTTGTTTACTTTTTTGACATTTATTACCCTAATTTCCAACTTTTATTTTCTTTCTTTATTAATATTTTAAAATATTAAATTATTATTTTCAAATATCACGTTGAAACTAATATATTTCCAACCATTTTTTTATATCAATTTCTTTTAATCAGATACGAAAGTCTTTCCGACTTTTGGAAAAAAATCAAAATGACGTGAGAGAATTTGGAAAAAACGGGTATTCGGTAAAAAAATTTAAATATATTTACTTAAATAAATAAACTGGAGCAAGACAAGAATCGAGATAAAAAAAAAAATAGAACACTCGTCCTTATCCTTATTTAACTTATAGAAAAACAATCTTTACCCGCTTCTTTTACCATTATCGAGTGATTTTATATGTCGAATAAATATCTCTAATTCTATGGATATCATAAATATTAAAATAAAATAAATTAATTTTAATAAATATCCGATTTATTTTATTAAAAAAAACAATGGATAGGGGCATGTGAAGGGACATGGCCTACTATATTCCTTACACATTGGGTCATGATAAAAAGACATATTTTACTAATAATTTAAATGCTAATTGGATTTAATAAATCCAATTAATATTTATAATAATAATAATAATAATGATTTCTTCCGAGTCAAAAAGTAACAACGATAAATGATTATTTAAAAATAGCTATAGATAAATACAAAATATATTTTTGGAATTTAATAGAATTTTCAAACACATTATTTTATATATCTTTATTTTATTTTATTTTATTTATCACGATTAAATTTTATATTAGATGACATCATATGTTATTTTCAAAGATGGCATGAATTAAAAAATATACAAATATATATATATATATATATATATATATATATATATATATATATATATATTAATGATTTTTTTTTAATTTTGTTAAAATAGTATAAATAAATAATAATTTTGTATTTGAATTTTAGGGATTACAATTAATTTTTAAAAAAATTATAGCAATTATATAATGATTTAATTTTTAAAATATTGAAATAAAAATTCTAAATCCAAGATAAATAGAGGAAATAATATATATTAATATAGTTTAATTAAAAATTAATTCTGGTTTATGATTTTTCATAAAATTAATATTTAACTCCAATTTGTAATTATTTAGAATAATTATGATAACCACTTATTATTTTTTTAATTTTATAAATATATTTACTTTTTAATAATCCACGTATATAAAAAATGATTAAATTATTTTTTAAAATGGTTTTATTCTGTTAAAAATTATTATTCTTTACGACAGAGAAGACCTTCAACTTTATATTATGGAATTTTTCTCTATCAAAATTAGCATATACGTATATATTTTCTGCCATTCTTTTCCATGTCCTCTGTTACCGTTCATTAATTTTTAAAATAAATTATTTTTTTTAGAATTAATAAAATTTATATTATTTTATATATTTCAACAATATAAATATTTATTATTTAATATAAACTAAATTATAAAAATTAATATACGATGAAAATGTTCTATATTGTTATATAATAAAAATATAGGGGTCAAATTGATATAAATTAAAATTTGAGGACTAAATTGTTATTTCTATAAAATATTTAGAAACTGAAAATATTTTTTAATAAATAAAATCGGAAAAATATATAATCCACTAAAAAGTATGCTTTAATTGTGGGCGTGTAGGAAAGACGATCCAACCTAATCCAACCATCATTAGATTCTCTACCAAGTGTCCTGAATGTCCTAATTGTGGGAGTCTCAAAGGACTGTCCTAAAGAATTTTCAATGTCACGTTATCTTTCACTTCGTTACTAACGTGTCACGAAATGACCAATTTTGTTGTTTATTCTCCGTACCTTCTCGAACCCTTTAAAAGCATGCTCATAAATGTCGTGTAAATGTTTCAAAACTACACTTGTAATAGTAATCTATTAGAATGCTGAATAAAATTGGGATATTCGCGATGGTGACTTAGAATAATGTGTCGGGATTCATGTCTCAATTCCTATTCCAGATCCTAGTTTTCGGCCAATATTCTAATTAATTTATACTCTAAGGATAGTTTTCGAAATTAGAGTTTAAACCTAATTTCGAGTTAAATTTTTTTTTATCAAACCCATAACTTTTTTTCTTCATTTTGGATCGGAAAATAGAAGAATTGCGTGAATAAAAAATACCAGGGAGGTTTATGGCCAAGGGTAAAGATGCCCGAGTAACCGTTATTTTGGAATGTATTTTACTCGAAGGGTTTGAATAAGCCCCAATCGTATTTCTAAAGAAAAGATGGGCAATCTGTCTTTTCAAAATATGATTCCACAAAAAAAATATATATATAATTATGATAAGACCCCTTCCTAGTAAAAAAATACAGTGAAATCACATTTCCTAATCTTTCCCCAACCCTGCGAAGTTCAATTGAGTTCAAATAAAATATAAATTATATATATTCTACTTCTTAAGGTTAGAAGACAGTATTATCGCTGATATATATATATATATATATATATATATATATATATATATATATATATATATATATATATATATATATA